GCAGCTCAGAGAGTGGCGCATGGGGAGCACAACGGATGCAATGGGTTCAAAGTTGCAGAGCCGGGAGCACCATGCTATTCAACAGCAACCCAGGCACAGTAGGAAGGACACAAGCACGGCAAGGGCTGCATAAGGGCGGTGACAGCAAAACCCTTTTGGCACGTGACGGAGAGACCATGTTGCAGGGCTCTGACTAACAGGGACGCCCACTGCCGGCGCTGAAGCTTGGTCAGCGAACGCAGAACAGTTCTGAGACGGTTCGCGCACTGCGGCCATAGGAAAGAGAAGAAATCACTGCAGAGCAAAGAAGAAGAAACACCGTCCATCACCCCCCAGCATCACGACGCCCTTCCCATGCCGGCAGCCCCCACACTGCGCGGATGCTTGCATCAATGTACTTCCACCGGGCTAACGTGAGGGAACCTCCTTTTGGATGTTGCAGTTGAGAAGCTCGGAAGGCTCGTGGCGCCCATGAGGATCTTCAGGGACCTTAGCTTGACATGCCTGTGACATTCACGGCGGCAAATAGTCCTCTCTTGTTGCCCGCGATATATTGGGGAATTCCAACCTGGAGGTTCTTTGACAGATTCAGCGACGCCGATTCAGCACCGAGCCTTGTAATGCGACCAAAGTCACATCACTGCGCTGAGGAGCAATGGAAACCAGGCATGCCTCGCCGGCTTTATGCGGAATCGTATGGAGTGATATCAGGAACAACATAGACCCCTCTGAAAGTAGCAGCGAACCATTTCAATGCAACTACAAGTGCGGCTACATTCACGGTTGGTGCTGCAAGCGAACGTCTTCCAAACCCTGTTCATGCTGGTGTGCAAGATACACTCAGGTGCGTATATCTTGGTCCTTCAACGGCTGACTGCCTTTATCACTTCTAGCAGCCCAAACTAAGACAAACAGAATGAAGACCAAGGGTGTGCATATGCATACGCTGTGGGTGCAGGTGGTGGTCGCGAGGGCTATCAGTTTCCCACAGTCGGAAGTACGAAGCAGCATGTAAACTTATACGTCAGCTGCACACTACAATGCAGAGCGCTCTTGAAATCATACACTTAGCTGAGGCAAAATTCCTGCGTGCAAAATATGTTTGTCACCAACTTGCACACAATGATACCCTGCTGCCATCAGAATTCTATTTAGTCGGCAAGATCTGAACATGAATATGGGTAGCTTCCTAAATTAGGGTCCCTTTGTGGGCAACCATTATAAGGCGGCACCCTTGAAAAAGGGATCCCAAAAAGGGACCCTAGTTTAGAGAACTACCCATATGAACACCTGGCGGAGGGCTTCAATCGAGCATGGCCTCGGTGTGTGCACAAACTCACCGATCCCAAGCATGCTTCGCTAGAACCCTAATCCGTATTATGTAGAGCTCAGGCCAAGAGAGGTGGTGCAAGAGATTTGCTTCAGGGAAGATGACGTTTAGGGTTTAGGGTTTAAGGTTCAGGGTTTAGGGTCTAGGGTTTCAACCCTAAACCCTAAAACCTGAACCCTAAGCCCTAAACCCTAGTTGCGTCGCCTCCCCATCTCGGAACTGATAGCAACCTTGAGCGACAGTCAAAGACTGATCACGCAACCAGGAGGGTGTCGTCTTGAAGCTCTACCCATCGTTTTTTGGGGTGGGGGGGGGTCTATGAATATTTTGGGGCATCGCTCGTGCCAGGAACCTACAGGAGAATATAGAATATTGGGGGGTATCGTTTGACGGGTCTCTCCGTCGTTTTTTGGGGTTTCTGCTTATCATGAACACTCCCGGCCAAATTTCATGCACGCGAGCATTGACTGGTGTTTAGCCGCCTGTCCTGCAGCTGAAAGCACCCGACACCCAAAACTTCCATCCCAGAGGCAATCCCAACCCTCGCTTCTTGTAAGTTTTCACTGAAGGTTCTACTGGGTAAGGGCATTCAACGGAAAAAGCGGCCATCACATAGACTGAGGACTCCAACTGCAGCATATAGTCTTCCCCTTGGCCCCACCCTCCTATGGACTAGTGACTAGTCTTGACCCTCTCAGAGCAATCTTTGGAATCTCTACATGCCTACATGGACCGACCCTATAACCCTAAGCCCTATAAAAGCTTCTGTGTACCCGGCGGGCCCGAGGCGATCGGTACCTAGCAGCAGTAGTAGTCATTGTCGTCTTAGTAGTAGTGGCAGTTGTAGTATCTGATATTACACCAAGCACCGCGCTGCAGAAGAGGTCTGAAGGCCAAGAATGCAACAGGGGCGAGGCTGGGCGTGAGCTGTATGGTGAAGGGTTTAGGGGAATGGGGTTCGGGTTTGGGTTTTGCGTGGTTGTGGGCTTGGCGTTGGGGAATTGAGAGTTGTCTTACATTGACCACGAGTGAGTGAGGGGCTGTGTTTGGTTTGGCCTTTCACTGTCTTGAAACCTAGGTTTTGTGGGCTTTAGGAGGGTCGTTCGATGCTAATATGGATGGAGCGACTCTCATGCAGCAGTGCTATGGTTGCAAGCCTGTAGCTCCCGCAAGAATCGAACTGGCAACATCCCACTGCCAGCAAGGGCCTCTGGTTTCATCCGGGTGCGAAGTTGCTGCTCTTGCAGACCTCTGTCAGAAACAAGAACACGGCCCGCAAACTCAAAACCCTAAAGCCCTAAAACCAAAAAAATATCGGGGAACGCCCTCTTCTCCGAATTTACTCAAATGTCAAATCTCAATATCTGCACGCACACATGACGACGGGCAGGGGGGAGGCATAAAGAGCGAGAATTGCACACCGAACGATATATGGTTGTATACTGAGAAAGAAACAGCAACCGTGAGCAAGATTGAGCATCAGCCTTCTCGCTGCCGTTGTCGTAGCCCCACACCTTCCGCTAAAGCAGTGAAGCGAGATTGAAACACATGAATGTGCGAAGCGTGTCCCGGCACATGGCCGTAAACGACTTCCTCCTGTTACTCTCAATGAGTGCCGCTCGATGAATGCGTACTGCATTGCCCTGCCCTGCACTGTACTAATTCCACCGCCTATTTCAACACACTACATTGTAGTGCACCACTCTGTACTGCACAACCAGCACCCCGTGAGGCGACAGGTCATTGGGGCTGCTGCAGGCTGAACGAAGATATCTTGGTTGGGCTTCAGGCTGTCGAAGATTCGAAGCAGGCGCGCCTCACCGACAGGGGCCTTTGGAAATGACGGAGGGTGCACAAAAACTGCTTCATCCAGATGGCCATGACTGAGAATCTCAGTTGCGGGGCCTCCAGAATCTTGATGTCCGAGCACTACCTATCCCGAAGGCGCCTGCAACGGATAGCTTCTATCTGCCTTCGAGAATCATAGTAATCTCTGGACAACACCTGCGTCCTAATGCTGGCAATGGATTCTGAGGAAACCACTCACAGGATCGGCAGAACGACAGCAGCCTCTCAACAACTCTACTGAAGATGAAGCTTTCCTTGTATTGTATAACAACTGAGAGAGCGAGGCGAGAGAGGAGAAGGGGAGGGGGGGAAGGGGAGAGGGGAGGGAGAGGTGTTTATATTGATGTCAGTCGTGCCGCAAGTCTGTGCTGCAGTCAAGCATAGAGTCAACACTGCTTCCAGAGTGGTCGCACCGCTACTGCTCTTGGCATCTCCAAGACTCCACAAGCCGGGGGAGTTTCGGAGTTTCGCGCGTCGGGACTCGAAAAATGGCAGCGATGGTAAGTTAAGGAACCGTCATCGTGGCAGTGGGGAGAAGAGAGCAGAGGACATAGTCAGGGCTCGACTTGCCGGACCCCAAGTTGCTCCGAGGCAATGCTCTCTCACCCCTTTAAAGGAACCCCTGAAACACTCCACCTTGAACCCTAGAACCCTAAGTCAGATGCGGAGGGCCCGGCTGGATGTAGTGAAAGGTCGACTCCTGGATGGATGGGGCTTGGGCGGCTTAGGGTTCAGGGTGACTGGGGTTTAGTTGGGGTCCCCGGAGCCCGAAGCACTCTCGACACTGAATATGTGCAAGGGCAAGCGAGTGATTCAGTTGACATCATGCCTCCACGGAAGCGGCGCATGCCCATGCGCCGCGACTGAAAAGCGCCCAAAATCCTGAGCAGCACAGCGCATCATTTTGCATGGTTCAGGGGAGTCAAAACACACCATCGGGGTATTTACTATAATGCTTTCCTTTTCAAAGCCCAACCCCACACCAAAACCCTCGCAAAGCCTCGTCGAAACTCCGATGACCGGGAAAGGCAATCTCTCGACAGCCCATACATGTAAGGATAGAAAATACGACAAGTGCGAATTGCAGAGATCGCCGCTTAGATCTAAAAACGGGTTTCTGGGAGAAGCTGAGAAGCACATGTAAGATGGCTTGGCCGACACCATGAGCAACACTGAACACATGATTCTGAACTCGCAGCTTCTAGAAGTCTCAATGCACCTTTGGGACTTGTGCCCGCAAAATCGCAGCACTGCCTGAGAAACCAAGTCCCTTCTTGAGCTCGATATTATCCGAATAAGCTATTAAAGCCCGCGACCTAGACCGCCGACGCCCAAATAAGAACACTTGGCTTTCACAACGACTCCTGCATGCAAAGGCATCATTGTACACCTTTGGGACTTGTGCGCAAAATCGCAGTACTGCCTGAGAAAGCAGGTCCTTCTTGAGCTTGAAGTTATCCGAATAAGCTATTCAAGCCTGCTACCTCGACCGCCAGCGCCCAAGTAAGAACACTTGGCTTTCACAAGGACTCCTGCATGCAAAGGCATCCCATGCGGCCTTGTATACTTGTAAAGTTATCGACTTACCCCTATAAACCCTAAACCCTAAACCCTAAACCCTAAACCCTAAACCCTAAACCCTAAACCCTAAACCCTAAACCCTAAACCCTAAACCCTAAACCCTAAACCCTGATAGATATGTCAGAAACGAAAGCACGCCAGGAACCGGGCAGCTACTCATGACGCCCTGCATCATGGCCTAGAGTTGATGCACCCCGAGGTCGAGCCACCAGGGAACTTGCATCATGGGGCAATCCTTTGTCTAGCTCACGAGACCATCCAAATTCGAATCGATCTCGGCTTCCACCTCTTGCGGAAGAGAGGTAATCACATTCGCCGGCTGTTCAACCTGGGCTGTCTTCTTCTTGCTCAATGGTTTAGTGTGTTTAGGGCTTAGGGTTTAGGGTTTAGGGTTTAAATACAAGTGTCGGGAGACCGATTCCAATACAACCTCTAAAAAATCCAGCGCGGGTCCTGCAATCGCATATTCAAATGGTGGCCTCCAGCAGATCAAGTTATATCAAGTTCCTTCATCTTTAATTAAGACCTACGGTGCGTCCCGAGATGCAGCGTCCCGCTTGAACCCGACTTAGCAGTAAGGTTCCGAGGAATCATGCCAGAGTAGACCCCCAATCAGCGTGATACCAGACCACTACGCGCACCCGACGAAAACAGTTCGGCACTGCCACGCGAGCACGCGTTTCAAAGCGACTGCTGTGGAGCACGATGTCGAGGCACGTACGCGGGACTGAAGCGGGAGCACGGACAGGGGAGCCGATCGAGGAGTCCGCGAGGCAGGAAACTACTCCCTTTAGGGTTTAGGGTTTAGGGTTTAGGTTTAGGAAATGCACAGATGCAGGAGCACGACTTAGCACCTGCCTCGACGGAAGAAAAACATTGTTCTCTGTAATGTACAACAACACTTCGCCTAGGTGAATGCCAGAACCCCATAGGGCTACCGCACTTTTGGGGGAGGAACAAGGGCTCCAACGAAGGAACGTTTTCTCCCTAAACCCTAAACCCTGGAAGAGCGTATGAATCCCAGAAACCTTGATCCTTGGAAGCGTCGCCTGCAGGAGGCCCCGCGTGACGCGCTCGACCTTGTAATCTCGGGATGAAGAAGACTGAGGTCACTAACAGGTCTCTGGGTTCGAGGTTGCTGCACTGAACTAAGTTTCCCTACTGCCTCACAATAAACCCTAAACCCTAAACCCTAAACGCTAAACCCTAAACCCTAAACCCTAAACCCTAAACCCTAAACCCTAAACCCTAAACCCTAAGGTGTTTTCCCTGATGTGCCTGCTCCGGGTGGTCCAGGATGGCCTTGAGCGGCTTCGCGTCCGTGTCAATAGGGCATCTTTTCGCCATGCGGTGCCACTGAGACCTGGCCGGGCATGTGAATCATTGTGAAAATCTGTCCCCTAAGGTGACTTGAGTCACAAAAAACTGGTGTTCAGGTGATTCTCCAAATGCAGGCCCCCAGGCCCCATTGGTGCCCAACCTTCTGAAAAAACGAATGGCGGCCAAAAGACAAGGCGTCAGTCGAGTTTCTGGAGCTCTGGACCTGGAGGAAGCCAAAGTTCTGGCGCATGTCATCCCACAGCGCCTGGCCTCCGTTGCCAAGATGGTGGCCAAGATCCTCCAGGCCAGCACTGGTCTCACTTAGCATCTCGCTACTGACCGGGCCGTCCTCACCTGCGAGGTCGGAGAAGAACTGACCCATTTGCTGGCCTGCCTCCTCAGCCCCAGACAAGTCCACCTTCAGCTCCACGTTGGCACAAACGCCGACAAGGAGCATCCCACAAGCTTCGGCACTGAGCTTCAGCTCGCCGTCGCCGTAGACGCCGCCGATGCTGCCACCTCCGCCAGCACCTGCGCCTGCCATCACGGAGCCACCAACCTTGCCACTGACGTCTTCTGTGCCCACCTGTGCATCTGATGTGGCCTTAGCATAAGCACCAGCAAAGGCTTTGGCCTTTGCTTTGCATCCCTTCTTGCTGGTGCAGCCAGCTTCCGCCTCGGCCTTGGCAATATACCCGGCCTCGACCGCAGCGGTGTAGTCGGCCGTGACGCCGTTCCCCAGATCCTGCTTAACTCGGCTGGATGCGCCGACCTTTGCACCGGCGGCGGCCGAGAGAGTTATCTGACATCCTTGCACCTGGGTGCTGCAGCCAACTGAAGCACCCGCATCCACGAAGACTTCCGCTTCCGTTCGCACGGTGATGGAGACTCCGTCCTGGTCGTAGACCTGATGCTCGTAGGCCACCGTCACGGCTGCACCAACCTCGGCGCAAAGGCCTTCCTCGCAGGCCCCGAGCTGGTACTGGTAGCTGCCCTCCAAGCTCAGAGCGCCCCGGCCATCCGCTGTCATAAGCTCACCCCAGCGGGCAGTGTCCTCTTGAGTGTGGCCAATCACTGCGCCACGTTTCTTGTTTCTGGCCCTGTCCTGCAAATCGTTCTTTGCCATGTCGTCCAAATCAGTTTGCAGGCGGTCAATGTCGCTTTGAGACGGTGGATTGGAATAGGTCCGAGGGGAGTGGCTCCTGTGCGGGTAGTTGGGATCGTCACGGGCAGCCCTTCTCTGATCCTCCGGTGTTGTCGGCGTAGTCTCTGGCCATCTGCTCCGCTCATCATCATACATCTTCTCCATGAGTGCCCGGTACTTTGCCGAGTTTTGCTTGGCCTGGTTGTCCGCAACTCTCTTATAGATCCCGACCATGCGACGGCTGTGGTCGACCTGCCGCTTCAGCTCCTGAGCTCGGGATTCCAGCCGTAAGCGATCGGCCCTGAGCGCGTCGGCTGCCTGCTGATGAGCCAGGTACGCAGGTGAGTTGGGGTCCATACCCGCTTCAGCCATCTTTCCTCTGTGAAGGTCCTCGTACAATTGCAACTGATTGGCACCCATTGTGTAGCCAACCATCATGCGCTGCCTGTTCTGGATCCACTTCTCCTCGTCTGCTATCCTGCGATATTCGAAAAGCAGGCGCTTGTTGTTGCGCACAACCTGGCGATGATACTCCTGCATCTTAGCGAGGTATGGGTCGTAGCGAGCGTAGTACGGAGTGTCTGAGCTCATCTTCTTCCTGATGCCCCAAGAGCTCATAGGTGGAACCCTGCACTTGCGACCGATGCATTGCAGGCCGTTCGTGCACTCCTGTGCTCCCCAGCACTCGCCGCCCTCACCTTGCTGCACCGGATTGATGTACTCCCGGACACCCGGGCTGCTTGCAAACACTTCGGCAAGGACGGCCTGGGACAGCACCCAGTCAGGGCAGTCGCGGCAGTAACCCCACTGGTCTGCCGCATTCCGATCAAGGGCGGTGACCCCAGCCCGTAAGCAGTACAGGTGCTGAAAGTCCCTGCGCTCTATCAGCTGTTCCGGTGCGCACTGTCCTAGCGGATGAACGCTGGAACAAAAGGCGGGCCACGTCTTGGCATTCGATGGCATGCGAGACCAGTTCTGCCACTGGTCCAAACGAGGAGTTGGCTGAGATCCATCCTCTGCAGTGGCAAATGCACATTTTGGAGTAACTTCTGCAGCAGGGCAGGGTCGGCAGTAGCCCCAATCCATATCTCCCACGCCTTTGGTCCTTGGTTTTACCCTCTGAGCCCTCAAGTTGTATGAGAAAGGCCCGGTGCAAAAGCAGCAATCGGGACTGATTCTGAACGCAGCGAATACGAAATTCACCGTCGCCCTAAACCCTAAACTTTAAACTTTAAACCCCAAACCCTAAACTCTAAACCCTAAACCCTAAACCCTAAACCACAGACCCTAAACCCTAAACCCTAACCCTAAACCATAAACTCAATGTACCAATGGTATAACTTGGCAAGGTGCGCAAACCCTAAACCCTAGACCCTAAACCCTAAACCCTAAACCATAAACTCAATGTACCAATGGCATAACTGGGCAAGGTGCGCAATACCTTTTCGAAGGCAGTAGGGCTGGTTGGAGCCAAGGGGTTGGTGGCATTTGCCAAAAGGGAGTCCGTCGTCCTCTGAGCACTGCTCCTTGGTTTAGGGTTTAGGGTTTAGGGCAAATCAATGACTCATAAGGAATAGCAAACACAGCACCCCGACCTTCCTGGAGGACTCTACGTCGCTTTTCAACATGTTGGACGTGACATGGGGGCATATGTGGAGTCCTGCAAATTGCGGGTTTATCAAGGGCGCCGAACACTGACGAACTCTGATCTCAATCCACCAAACATCAGTACACATATGTCAGTACCGCGGGGGGGAACAAAGAGCAATCGCAACCGAAGCACTGGCCAATGGAACGTCGAGTTCGGTAGAGCTGAGAACATGGAGGCCCACTCGTCTGTGCGGACTGCAGGTTGGGTGCCGTCGGCTAGCGTGTCATACGCGCACATTGCAACCTCCGCTCAGCTTTGAACATGACAAACTTCACTCTTCACCACCCGCACCGTGACGATAATAGAAAATCACATGCAAAGACCTCCTCGGCCGGCGTCCAGAGGTTCCCTCCTGCTTGGGGGGCCTCTTCCCCGCCCTCTATAATCTCTAATCCTGGCCCCCCGTGTGAGGCCATTGTTGCCGGTCCTTTCACTTGGCGTGTGGTTCGGGTTCTGCTTTGGGAGATCTCTGCGTGGCTGAACTGGGCTCTGCCGGGCCGAGGAAGCCGACGCGAAGCGTTTACATTCAACGCCCAGTCTCGAAAGGCTGGACCACATAGACCGCGCCGGTTCCCGAGTCGTGGACCACTTTGTGCGAAGAGGATATTTTGTCACAACCCCAATCGGGCACTGCTGGACCCAGTTCATAGTCACACTCGAATCCTGCCCGGTTCTCGTGCCAAAGAGAAGCATCACAAAAATTCCGGCCACACTGCAGGCAAGTTGTGACGTGGTGCAGCGTGCCAAGATTTCCTTGGTGCAGAGCTAGAACAATGCCAGTTTGAAGATTGGCGAGTCAGTCCTTTTCTACACTGCGTTGCCAACTTTTACAAAGCCGAAAATGATGTTGATGAAAAATCTCAAAAAAAAACATGTTTATAAGTATCTGTGTAGAAAGGTTGAAGGCTACAAGGAACAAGACAGAGAAGCTAAAAGAAAACTTGATTACAAAACCTATATTGCTGCAGATTGGTTATTGGATAGGTTGAATGGGTGTTGTGAAAAATGCAGTGTAGATGTTTATGTTGAAACAATGACGGAAAAATAAGAACAAGTTTAACAGCACAAAGAAAAATAACGATCGAACACACACGATAAGCAATTTCATACTAGTAGCATACTGCAACAGGTGCAATTGCCAGATGAGCGACAATGAAAAGTTTTTAAACTAGGTAGTTTCCAAAAAACTTATATATATATATATTATGGTATATATGCCAGTTGGTAAAGGTAGGGTTCAACAAGAGCCCGCATTGGAACCTGAGCCGAAGAGTTATGAATTTGAAGAAAAAGTTTTCGATATGGTTTCAAGGTAACCCGTAAAATGGACTCAGTTTTAGAAAAGTTAGATGCAGTCAGTGAAAAACCTAAACGCAGAAAGCAACACTAACCTCGAGGCATCTTCCGCCAACGAAAGAAATGCATACCTGAAACAATGCAAGATTATAAGGTCGTAAAAGAAGGCGACACATATGTTTAGAAATAATGCATAAACCACCGCGGCAGGTTGTTTTATGCATCACATCTGAAAATCATTTTCTACAACCAACATTTTACAGTAAACTTTTCTGCAGCATTTGTGATAAATTTATGATAAACTTTTGTTGTAGAAAAAAATCGAAAAATATTTATGACTTTTTGCACGGCTTGAAAAGTGAACTAAAATTACAAAACATAAAATGTTTCAAGTGAATTTTTTAATTTCATCATAATCCTTTATTGAAACTTAATATGTTTTCACTGAGAAAATGCTTGAGGTGCTAAAGTCAAAAATGAGGACAAAATGATTGAACATTGGAAAATGAAGGGTGGACCCTTGCACCTCCACTCCTCCACCCCCCCTGCAGGGTAGGGGAGAGGTGGGGCGGAGGGGGTGGAGTGGGAGGGGTGACGACCAAAACCGCACCTTGATTCTGGCTGGCACCTTTCGAACTGCCTCTTATTGGCGAACCCCAAGAATCCAAATTTGCCGATGCAATATCAATATGAATATCAATATTTTGTTTATTGATTTCGTTCGAGCACAAGAGCTCAAGGTGGGTTTTGGCGTTGACGTCGTATTTGTTGCTTCAAAAAACCTAGTAGCAGCTTTGTGCAGAGCTCTGGTTTCCGTTAAAGATTGCCGAGCATCGAAGACACGATACAAGGACTTCTTTTGTCGCCTTGTTGTGGACCACTCTGGGAGAAGTTGGCAGCTTGTTACAGCCGAAGCCAGCCAGGGTCGCGCCGGTCTCATAGTCGCATTGGAGACCTATTCGATCCTCCTGATAGCGGCTTTCGTCGCAAAAACTCATTGAGCACTGCTGGCATTGGCTGATTGCATGGAGGACCCCCAGATTTCCTCAGTCTATGTCGAAGCTAACACATTGCAGGCAAGCAGCAACAGATGCAAGCTGTGTCCATGTGTCTCAAACAAATGCCACGTCTCGGGCGCAAGCATCCTCTGCAACGTAGATTTTTCCGGTCCCTGCGTCGCGAACCACTTTCGGCGAGGCAGGAAGCTTGTCGCACCCCCACTGTGAGAGACTGGAGCCGATTTCATAGTCACACTCGATTCCGCTGCGGTTCTCCACCAAGTTCGAATTAATGCTGCTGCCACAGAAATTCCTGCCGCACTGCGAGCAAGGTTCGACGTGGTGCAGGACGCCAAGGTTCCCTTAGACGCATGCAAGCTGGAGAAACCGACAGAAGATGTGGCCCAAAGGAGCCTCGTGACATATCTGGGGCCCTGATAAGCCTGATAAGTATCCTGAACTAGTAGAGCCGTGCCTGGGGATCTTCTGTGGGGCTTGAGTGCAATGCCGGGTGTCGAGCGCACGCAACGTAGTACCAGTACATATTGTACACCCATGACTTGATCACTCTTGGATTGCTGGGAAGTTTGTCGCAGCCCCACTGCGAGACGCCAAGGGCCGCTTCATAATCCCAAACGCACCACCATAGGGTTCGTGCACATCTATCTGGTCCGGATCACACAGATGTCCTCCACACTCGTTGCACCCGGCTGAGAGCCGATGTATGAACCCAAGTTTTCCTCGGAGTTGGAGTTGCAGAGATATGGTTCAGTTTCAGACGAAAAAGAAAAGGAAACCATGGAAACTCCCCGAAGAAAGTTGCCAAGAATCCAATTGAGGGAGGCGCCGGGGCAGGGGCCGGGGGCGCAGGGGCCGGGGGCGCAGGGGAAGGGGGCGGGGAAGGCGCTGCGGAAGTCGTAGTTGGGGGGGGAGGGGGCACCGGGGAAGGGGCCGGGGAAGGAGCGCTGATCTCTGCAACGTAGACTGTTCCGGTCCCTGCGTCGTGAACCACTTTCGGCGAGGCAGGAAGCTTGTCGCACCCCCACTGTGAGAGACTGGAGCCGATTTCATAGTCACACTCGATTCCTCTGCGGTTCTCCACCCAGTCCTTGCTGTCACAGAAATTCCTGCCGCACTGCAAGCAAGATTCAACGTGGTGCAAGACGCCAAGGTTTCCTTAGATGCATGCCAGCTGGAGAAACCGACAGAAGATGTGGCCCAAAAGAGCCTCGTGACATATCTGGGGCCCTGATAAGCCTGATAAGTATCCAGAACTAGTAGAGCTGTGCCAGGGGATCTTCTGTGGGGCTTGAGTGCAATGCCGGGTGTCGAAGGCACACGACGTAGTAATAGTACATATTGTACACAAATGACTTGATCACTCTTGGATTGCTGGGAAGTTTGTCGCAGCCCCACTGCGAGACGCCAAGGGCCGCTTCATAATCCCAAAGTGCACGGCCACTCTCATCGAGCTCATCGAAAGAGTCACACAGATGTCCGCCGCACTCGTTGCACCCAAATGAGAGCTGATGTCTGAACCCAAGTTTTCCTCGGAGTTGGAGTTGCAGAGATATGGTTCAGCTTCAGACCAAACAGAACAAGGAAAACACGGAAACCCAGCTGCCAAAGAAGGTACCGACCCAAAGAAAGTGCCCAGTGTTCGAGTTCTAAGGGCACTTCTAGGGTTGCTACACGGGAAGCAGCGGGAGCATAGAGGCTACAAAGGGCTGCGAGCGTGGGCTTAGCGGCGGGAGAGGACTCAAAATCCAAGACCATTTCGAATGCAACCGCATGCGCTTGACAACTTGTGTGAGATTCTACCCAAATAAGTCCCCTCTACATTGCAAAGCCTCTAAAAGCTTGCAGAGGCGTGTCAACAGCTGCATACCTCTGGGGCTGAACCCCAACACGGAGACTCGGAATCCTTCCCTGGTCCACGCGGCGCCTTGAACCAATTCCCACTAAAGACCCCCCTAAACCCTAAACCCTAAACCCTAAACCCTAAACCCTAAACCCTAAACCCTAAACCCTAAACCCTAAACCCTAAACCCTAAACCCTAAACCCTAAACCCTAAACCCTAAACCCTAACCCCGTGTTGGTAGGAAGGCCCAGGATCCAGCTGTCGCAGCAGACTCAGCCAGGGCGGTAGACGCGCCTGGGTGCCACTTGAGGTGCCCACAAAAGGTTCAGTACCCGTGCATGACTGAGAGCCCTCCCTGCATCCGTGACACTGATGTTGAGGGGACCACGCTGAGCATTCACAGATTGCAAAGCCTGCTTTTCTGAGCGATGCTGGAGCACAGATACCTTGGGCCAAGCACAAACAAGCTAAAATCTAAGAACTGCAGCCAAGAGGAATGACAGCCAAGCGGCATCATCACAGCCATCTTCCTTTGGGAGACATGAAAAGCAAGAGATCCAACATCTTCCGAAACACATGTTGGAGATGTGGGGCGGCCAATGATAAGATCTGCTGTACGACAAAAAAACTAAGGACCCAGGGACATCCCCCTACCACTGTCTTGGTAGCTGGTTTAACCTCTTTTCTCATCGTTTCTGCACTCATTGTGGCGAATGTTCTAGTACATATGAAAGCACTTCAATCACTAGGTGGTACTGATGCTTAATGCATTCCAAGCGCTTCTGGCGTGCCAGCAGCTGGCAACTCAGCCGAACCTTGATTGCATTGTTGATGTGCAGCAGGCAACGCGACCTGGCTTTCTGGAGAGCACAACCAAGAAAACTCGAGGATTGCACCCCAAACCCTAAACCCTAAACCCTAAACCCCTTTAAGGCTAAACCCGAAGCCCACTTGAGCCATGGTTTTTATTCGATGGTGTTTTTAATGGAAATTTATTTCCTTCCGCGGAACCCTTCCGCGGACCTTCCGCGCCTCGAAAGGTAGCTTCCGCGGGGCATGTTTTTAGAGCTTTCTTGCGCGG